CCGCGCCCCCCCCCCCCGCCCACACCGCCGTCGAGCAGCAGACCCTCTCCATGGCGGCAAGAAGCGCGCATGCTAGAACTAGGGTCTGCGCAGCCCATCGAGAAGAGAACGAAAGGGGTGAGGAGCAAGCAAGGCAACCTGTCACGCACGAGCCTTCTCACCGAGATCATCCTGCGTGCCGTCCATGGCAAGTCGACCTTTCCTTAATGCATGGTCTCTCCTGGAGACCACGAGGCTTTTTGAAAAGCGTCTTGGTGTCGCACGAACGCTCTTGGTAAAAGTCCACGTCCTGCATCTCCCCACTCCAAACAGCATTCCCGGTTCCTTCGAGCTGACGGCCTGGTGAGACGATGCCTTGTGTTGGACGAGAGTCGCCTGCAACCATAACTTGCTCAAGTGCTCTCCGGATCACATCAATAGCAAACATCTGAGTTTTCCCGCCAGATGCTCCCGCAGAAGTCTGTTCTCTGAGCAAAGGCGGAAAAGATCTGGATGGTTTTCCAGCTGTCGCCTAAGCCATCGAAGCAAATTGTCCACTTGTCTGCAAGCAGAGTGCATGCTGGGCACCAGACCGCAAGAGCCTTGGACGTGCCAGGTGTCTGAGCCGCTAAGACAGATCTTCCGAGGGCAGGGCTTGTTTTCAGCTCGCAGTTCAGCTAACTCTTGTTCTGCAGGGCCTGCACTGCAACAGCGTGCAGAGCGACTCCGACCCCCAAGGACCCCCAACATCCACGGGGCCTCCAAAGCCCGTCAGCCCGAAACCCACTTCGTTGGCCTCGGGCCTTGCGTGCCAAAGATTTTCCTTTAAGCAGAGGCCAGCAGCAGGTTCTTTGTGCGAAGGCTTCTAAGGCTGCGACGGGCTTTCGTCAAAAGAACCTCGCACGCTTCCAAGCCGATTTTTGAATTCCAGACCGGCACGGCTGGCCTTGCGCCAGTTGTGTTGTTGAGCCCAGCCTAAGTACAGAGCCAGTCGCGAGTAGTAACAGAGACGTGCAGACCAAGGCCGATGCTGCCTCATGCGGGCAGTGCTTCGTCGGCCATTACGGAGAGCCGCCTCCATCAAGCTGAACAGTGCATGTTCACTGCAACTTCAGCGTTGCCAAAGGACCAGCACAGGAATCGTTCAATCTAAAATTGCATCCTGCATACGCCCTGGATGCCCCGGCTGCAACACCTTTTGAACAACAAAAAGGCAAAGGACGCATGCAAACCAGCAGCACACCACACTGAAAGCGAGAGGTAGAAGCTTCAATCATGGTCTTATCCAATGTCGCAATCCAAAACTCTTTGCCCTGCCCCATGGCGGCTTCTCTTGTCGTGGGGTTCAGCTGGGCCAAACCCGGCCGGGGCTGGGCTGGGGGCTGGGCTGCGGGCTGGGCTGCGGGCTGGGCTGCGGGCGGGGCTGCTTGGCTGGTGGATTGGGGCTGCGGGAGGGTCTGGTAGACGAGGAGGGAGGGCGGCGGGCAAGGGCTGGGGGTGGGGCTGCCTGTATTATTATTGTATCCATGCCCTCCCCCCTGCAGGCACTAATACTATTATTTTGAGAGTGGGGACAAAAATAATCAGAATGCCCGCGGTAGGGTTATTTGTTCGCGTGCTTCTTGGGCCAGCCCCAGCCTAAGCCGCTCAGCCCCCACAACCAGCCTCAAACTGATCACGCCCCACCCTGAAGCGCACGCGAGCCAATTTCGGTTTTGCGTGGGGCCCAGAGAGATTACCAGGAGAAACGGACGCCCAATGATGAATGATGCTGATGATGCGCCCCTTGTGCATTGAAACCCACCCCGACGCCCCCGCCCTCCAACAGTTATCTTCTGCAACGATGAGCTTGCCCGCAAGCTCGCTTTCCGTCATCCCACAGCCGAAGTCCCTACAACGCTAAGCAAGCATTCGATGTTTGCGCTACTGCCTCTCCGATGAGTAGGCCGTAGCTGTAGCTGCGGCTTCGGTCTGACACATCTGGCCCCAACCTGAAAATCCAGGCATACCGTTTCCAGACAGATCTCGTTTGAAGCCTATCCGGCCGCAGCCTCAAAGGCGTCTCTGAGAGGCCAACCAGCGCTGGGACGAGTCACAGACTAGACCGTCATAGCCTGCACTAGCCGACATTGCATGTGCTTGATTTGCTCGCGACACCCTCCAACTGCGAAGCCATAATCAATGGACGAGCTGCTCTCGTCTTCCAGACGGCCATCTTCTGCTGCCAGAAACGCCTTGAGCCATCCAGAATTTGGATGCTCGAAGGTGCTGTTACGCCGATTTCCGTCCCATTCGGGCCTCGATCGTGCCATCCAGCATGTCGGCAGCTTGTTGATTGCTGTCGGTGGACGCACTGCAAAGCTGTTGTCGGAACCTACAGTACAGCTTTCTTTGACAGTCTCCGCGACGCAACGCAGTTGCAGGACAGCAACGGTTCATGTGGAGGTAAGGCTGCGGCACTACGAGCCGAGCAATCAACTCCGGCAGGTAGCAAGCCTTCTTGGCAAAACACTCACAGAAGTCAACGGAACATGACTGCAGACAGGGCCGTTCAAAGGCACCGGTCCTCCCCGGCCGCGTGGTCGACGAGGAAGCTGAAATAATCGCGAAGTGCATCAAAGTAGTGCTCCTTCCGCTCCAGCACCATGTTCAAGTACCTTCATTGCACAAGACCACGGAGCCTTTCTCACAAGCTTCTTAGGAGGATCGCTTCTCTCTCGGCGGTTTTCCATCCAAATCTGGCGACTCACGCTGAAGGCTTTTTGCCCTACCACGGGAAGCAACAGCCACCGAAACACTGAAAGCTTTGTACAAGTAGTGGATCATGCTGCATTCCAGTTGAATAATTCGGCCCAGAGTTCGGCCGCAATGAAACCACAGTCCTACGCTGGAGAGCTGCCAACCTGGAGCATCAAGGCTGCACATAATCCTGCTCTAAGCCAAGTGAAGTGGAAATGGGCGCCTTGTTCCAATCAAACCTCAGATGGTGTCATTCGCAGCAAGCACTGTAGACTGTTCCAATCAAGATTCGGGCCTCGGGTGCGAAAAGGGATACGTCATCTGGTCGCACTCATCTTCCACCTGTTGCCTCTCAACAAGAAGGAGGCCAAGATTAACCGGAAACTCGAAGCTGCGAGACTCAGACCCTGGCACTGCTGCCCCAGCATGGGTCAGAGCTGCTCGGAGGAACTCATACTGATGAGGTCGGCACCGAATGCTTGTGACCTGGTAACGCACGGAACTGCCCAAAAGGAACTCTTAGCTCTTCCGTCGGAGCCTCAACACGAACATCAGCTTGTATGAGAGCTCGTGCCAGGTCGATGAAGGGCACATCACTTGTAGCAGCGGAATGCCGAAGCCTGCGATTCTCAACCAGCTCTCTACTCAACAGCTCCAAACTTGCGACTCTGAGGCTTCCACGAGAGTTCCAGCTGCAGCACCACGAGACCGGGGAATTTAGCTCGGAAGACGTCTGCAATTTCCTTCGCCGAAAAGGCCCAGTGCCTGACGCACGCGCACAATCAAAGGTGCCTGCACAGTTCCAGAGCCACCAGCTGAGTCTCATGCCCTTCAGTGCCAAGTGAGGCTCTGACGATTGAAACCTTGGATCTGTGCCTTCCCTCTCATAGCAAAACAGCGGCCCAAGTTTAAGCTTTCCGCATGCTGAGGGAATCGTGGGAAGGTGCTGATGAAGTCGCCGAAATCCATGCTTCCACGCCTGGGTTTGAAGATATCGGATTGGAAGTCGGCACTGTAGGGGCATGAACGAAAAACACTTGACAAGCTCTCAACAATCCGACATAAACTTGGACAGGACGCGCACTGCAGCCCCTGACATCCTTCTGCAGCACTATTGTGCCGAATGCGATGCAAGCCTCCATAGCAGGTCGCTGGGGCAAGACTCGTTCGTTCAAAGAACTATACAATGATGCAATGCAAACTAACCCTGCGCGAACGCTTAAAAAAGCAGCTCGGCTATGCACCTTTGGCCAACATGTCACCGGGAAGTCAAGAAAGGTGCAGGCAAGGTTTTGGAAGTCCAGTCCTGTAAGGGAGGAGAAGAGAGAGAGAGAGAGAG